ACCAAATGAAATGCTTGTAAAAATATTAAAATATTTTTGATATTGTTTAGAGTTTCTTACTTCGTATGAAGTACATCTTCACCAAGTTTTAACGAAGATTTGTCTGGAAAGAAACTTTCATTGTTTATCTCACTAAGAAGTAACTGTACTTGGTATATACACGTGCGTAATCTGAATGAGAATTTGTTTTATTCATGGGTTTAACGACTAATTACATCATATATTACTTCATTATCTATATATGGCCTGGATAAAATCAGTCGCATTAAAAGTACTGTTTGAACTAGTTCAAAAACAAATGCCGAAGCTAAAAAGAAGATCTACATCGCAAAAAAATTCTGAGATGACTAGGAGAATGAGAGAAAGACGGGGTTGATAATGAGTTTCGCTTGTTAGACAATAAAAGACGAGCAAATTCTTATAAAGTTGAACGACAAGATGATGAATTCAAATGAGAAAAACTGCACTAAGGATGCACCATAGTAAAGATAAATACAAAAGTAATTTTGATGGCATGGAATCAAGTTATGGGTCAAAAATAAAAGAAGAACCTACTCATATCTGTCATTGATGCGGTAGTTTATGGTTTAAATATTCAATCAAAGAATATCCAGTTAAGATGTTAGCAAAACAAAGGATTAAAAGTAGAATTTATCGATACAAGGGTGTGGATGAGTGTGGCTGTAGATTTAGAGAAGATACCTACACTTACACCCACACCCGAAATTTAATGTTTTCTTTTCTGCTTATATGATTATTCTATAGATAAAATAAGAGGATAGAATACTGATAAACATCTACACTACTTCATTCGTATTATTATCCGAAGAAGGAAAGAAAAATAAATTTAAATATTCTATTTTATTTATTTTACATTTTTAACAATCCTTCTTATTTAATGAAAGGAAGTATGAAATTGTTCTCATCACTATACTAGAATAAAAAAAACAATTGGTATTCAATATTCAATAGAATTTATAAAAAAAAAGAAATTCCTTAATATTAAAATAAAACATAAATAATATTCATTATTTCATATCAATTTCAATCAATTAGTCAATATAATTATGACAAGTTCAATAATTTTAATTCATTTCTTCTTTCAACATTGTTTTCCAACAGACAATATTCTGTTTTATGTTTTAAAAGAAATTAATTTTCGAATAATTATTTTATTTTAATATTTACATTCAAATTTCTGAAAACTACATGAGAATTCAATAAAATAAAATATATACACTAATATTCAACATCAAACGAAAAAAAAAAAGAAAGTTTATGTTTAATGTATAAATCTAACTTGGTGTTGATGTTGTGCATTTGCACCTTGACCAACTTGTTGATGTTGCTGTGCACAACCTGATTGACGATGCTGTTGCTGTTGTTGTCTCTGAACCTTGTTGACAGCTTGATTATCTTGTTGTTGTTGTTGTTGTTGTTGTCGGTGACCGATAGCATCTTGATTAACTTGTTGAGTATTATTATTTTGATCAGCTTGTTGTTTTTGATGAATAGCATTTTGACTATGTTTCTGATGTTGCTGACCGTTATGAACTTGATGATTTTGTGGTTGGTGGTGGTGGCTATTAGCATGTTGATGTTGTTTGTGTCTGATAGTACTGTGACCAACTTTTTTATGTTGTTGGATATTATTAACCGGATGATTTTGCTGTTGTTGATTTTGGTTAAGAAGATTTTGATCATCTCGTTCATTTAGCTGGTTATTATTGTTTTGATCAGCTCCTTCATTTTGCTCTTGATTAGCATTGTCATGATCTTCTTGCTGATTGTTATCAGCTTGACCAATTTGTTGATTTAAATTTAATGAGTTTAATGTAGACATATCGTTAATTATTTGTTAATAATTTGTATAGAATAGCTTTTATAAAATGTTATGTTATACTACATTTTGCATCGTGTATTTATAGTTGAGAAGTGCGTAAAAGAAGAAAAACGCAAAACATTATAGTACAACAGTGTATATTTGCGTCGATCAAACTGCATAGTCGAGATATAAAGAAAATTCCAGTTGAAAAATCTACGCAGTATAGACCCATCTTTGAGAAGAAAACGAGAATAAAAAAAACTGCGCAATCAACATCTTTCACATAGAACGAAAAGGAATCGATAGAAATTACGTTTTAACCTTGATCAAGAAGAAAAAGAATGTTCTTTATTCTTTTTTTAATTTCATGCGCATTATCGTTGTTGACACATATAGAAAGATAAAATACTTTTGTCGTATATAGTTATGCGTATTTTTAGATTCACTGAGAATTCATTTTTTATTTCTGTCAAATTAGTTCTGAGTATAATTTAAATGGAGTATATTAGCATAGACTTTAAACAGAAGAAAAAGCTTATTATTTTTTTCTTTTTATTAATATATAAAAAAGTGTTAGTAAGTTCAGATTCTATTTTTTGATAGTTTTTTTTGCGTTAATCAACCTTTTAGATACAGAGTTAACTGTTACATACATTATTTCTATCCAATCAAACATCTCTTTATTTATAGTAGACTTTCGTTAGTATGTATGAATAGTAGACAGTAAGAAGGGAAAAATGAGCGATATAAAAAAAAGCGAGATTAGGATAAATGAGAAAATATCATCAAGCACAACTCAGTTACCATCTAGCGATAAATGACGATGAGCATGTCAAGTCGGATTTTGAAACATTACACCTTTTTTCTACTCTTTTTACCACGATTAATTGATTCATCAACGTGGTATACGAAAAACATTACGGTGCCCATTAAAGATCTTTTCAAACTAAATAAGTTTAATAATTTCTCAATTTGTTTACTTTTAAGTACCGCGCCCCATGTCGATTTTGGTGTTCTAGTGAATGAAAAGTCTAAACCTATTTGGATCATTCTATGAGATATAACACTCTCTTTTAATTTCAAACATTGTATAAATCTCCACGTATGCGGGTGTCGTTGAATAACACGCAAGAAAGATCTTCTGTTCTGTGCTAAAACATGAACAATGGAACATAGAAGGTTCATTTTACTTTCGGCAGAGTTCTTTTTTTAATTATACTTCAGACTGTGACCATCAGGTCCTATCAGTACATTTGTTCATAGAAGGTAAAATGCTAACAAAGAATAAAAAAACGAGAAATAGAAGAAAGAACGCAATAATCACAAACAATGGAAAGCAAACAATGATGTAATCGTCGTGTACATATAATCAAGTAATTGGTAATCTTCTTTTTCGATAATGTAGATCCGTATGCCAATTACACATTTTTGCTAGAGGAAGGAATCGAACCTTCTGATCTCTAAAGTTCAGATGTATAAAACCACTACGTCATTCTCCGATACCTTTGGTAAAGTTATTTTTTTTAAAGGTTTGATACAAATGTTTTTAATTGATTTTCTGAGAAAAAGTTCCTACTTTTTCTTTTAAAATTTTAAAAACTACACGAATCTAATCAATTGTTTGAAGAGCTAAACCCATGATAACAACATTGACAAAAATGAAACCAACAACCAGTTATTGACATAGTTTTTTTAAAACCGCGTTTATAGATTTATCTTTCGAAATCGCATATAATCATTGCTGGTTTTCCAGCAACACATTTTTAGAGGCTATTTTCTTCAAGCATCGAAAAATGGCCTCGTATGTTTCATGAGGCCTGTTAGATATTAAATTGAAACAAACTGGCACAGCTAAAATAAGAAAAAAGAATGAATATAAACGACGCTGCCTATTTCTTCTTATATCTATTCGTTTTGTATGCGGCATGTCCCTCAGTGATATCCATAGGCTGTTTTTGCTTTTCTTCTCTGACATATACAGATAACTGATTGAAAAGAAAGAAAAAGAACATACATACTTTCTCCATGCTGCATACCAACACAAATATATAGTTGCGTGAATAGTTTTGGAGATATTTTAAATGTACCGTCATCAAATAATACATCAGGATTGAATAATATATTCAGTTGTTCATCTGACGCAAACATTATTAAACATCCTCCACAAGTACTTTTTCGCTTGTCATATATTAAGAAATGTTCATTGGGATATGTTTCCATATAAACAGATGTCATAGTACACTTTTGATCACATGGTAATGGGGATAAAGCTTTGCGACGTACTTTATGCATACCAAATTCTAATAAAATAAAGAAGGATCTCAAAAAGGAAATGATACTAATGCGATTAAACTACTATCCGAATTTTTAAAGAAGGCGCATGGAAGAAAAACTTATAACTCTTGAATGGAAAACTATAGCGACCTATGATTTTCACCATTCAGTAGAAGATAGTCGGGGGCACATGCCTATGCATTATAAATGATTTCCCAAAGTACCACCCATAGTTAGCTTTAAAGAACGTTTTTTCGATGTTTTTGTAGCTCGCATTAACCTCTCTCAAATGTTATAAAAGAAAATCTTCGAAGTTGTTTACATACTATTCTGAAAAAGACCTGCGGACCATGAAACTACTGCAAGCATTCGAAAACACACTTTTCTTTAAAATGTGTTAGCTTTTTTGAGAATTCATCTACTAAAATTAAGTTAAAAAGATATTTTGAGGAAATAGTTTTCACGTATAGGTATGTGCCCCGACTATCCTCTATCTTTCCCTTCAAAAGTTGTAAGATTTCCTTCCGCGCGCCTTCTCTAATAACTCCGATAGTAGTAAAAATATTCTAATAAATTCCTTATATAATTTAATGATAATAAAATATCTATATGATTAGTGTAGTTATCTCTAAAAATAAATTTATTTTTAGCGAATATTTTGAAATAGATTCTTTTCATTATCATAAATCATTGTATAAAATTTATCAAAATTCGAATTAATTCTCAATCAATCATTTAACACGAATTTGTCACAGTTTTATTGGTCAGAAATCTTTGAAAGATAATGTATCCTATCCGATCATTGATAAATAACAAATGTGCTATCAGATTACATGGTGATGATATATTTAAAATTAACTAAATATGATTAAACTATATCGATCAAATGATCAATGAACTATTGTCAATACGAGATCCGCTATAAAAATGATCCAAAATAATTCAGTTTATGTTTGACTAGGTACTTATCTATTGTCAATAAAAATGTAATGAATAACATAATATGAAAGAATAGTTGACATTTATTGAAATCTTCATATATAAATAATTGTTTTATGATATTCTATAGGAATCTATCTAATATTTCTGTTTGTTTAGTTTATTGAAAACTTTATTAAAAAATGAAATAAAAAATATTATATTCTTAGACAAGTTTTATTCAATAGAAGTACAAAAATTAAACTATTTTATAGTTATTAAAATATAAGTATAAAATATATCTGAATATATTATTCTCTCTCTTTTTTCTCAAAATTAATCGAGAAAATTTAATGAAAATAAAATATTTTATTTAACATCATATATTAAACAATCAAAAGAATTAGTTGTTACTATTGCTCTAGAGAGAAACTAAAATATAGAAACAAACAAAATAGATAATAATACTACAAAAATTATTAAACTTAAGAGAACAATGTGTATTACTAATTTGAATTTAACGAGTCATTAGAGACACAATTCGTTGAAGATTAATAATGTACATTGATTGGTTTTATTATCTTAGATTTATATTCTCAAATTGATTTGTCAACTTCAATAGAATTATAAAATATTTCAAATGTTTTTGACATAAATTCCATGAAAAATAAGAGATGTCAATTGTATTATTTTGTTGAAAATAAAATAAATGTTTATTTTCCTTTTTAGAAACATATTCTAATTCTAAAGAAGATTGAAAATATTTAATAAAATAATCATATTCTCCTTTCCATTTATTAATTCATTGTAAAACAATATTATCATCGAATAGAAAAGGTTATGATACAAATATTACTGATAATTTCTTCTTTGTTTTTTCTTTAAATTTTAATAAGGTGTAGATGTTATCTATTCACATTCATATGTCACATTCTCAAGATAGCTACCGAATTTTGAAAACGTTCAGTTTTAGGTCAAGTCAGTCATGTTTGACTAGCATTATTTATTTAAAATATTATATTACAGAAAAATAAGTAAACAGTTATACTGTTTTTATCTTAAAAGATGTACAGATGATGATGAACATATTACCAATATCCACCACCATAGCCATATGAATTTCCATATCCACCACCGAATCCTCCACCATATGGATCACCACCGAAGCCACCACCACCAAAATAATTTCCGAGTTCATAGCCGGCGAAAGCACCTACTCCTGCATCAATAAGTGGACTACCAAAGCCAGTATGACGTCCAATTTCATAGCCGCCAAGAGCGCCTAATCCTGCATCAAGAAATGGATGAGACATTGTGTATTGATATCTGTTTAATAATCGTCGAATAAAATAAAAATATTATTATCGAGAAGGTTTAATCGTCGTATTTATATGTTTGTTGTATAGATGAGAGGTACGTCATTAGATTATTTATAAATAGGTGTATATACACGAGCGATTATAATACAACGCACATTGACTCATCCTCTCCTTGAATAATTATACATCTATTCATTTATTTTCTCTTTGACGTTAAACATGACGTACGAATATATACGTAAAAGAAATATTATTTATAGCTTAGACGTCATAACAAAGGTTTCTACAGTACACCATCCATTTATTTGATTTTTTATAACGTAATTGTGAACACAATATATTCCTAGCTTCAAAAAGAATAGATCTATGCAGCGACTACAAAAACATACGTGAAAAATCTTTAAAGCCTTTTCTTCACTAAAAACAAGGGAATTTCTATAATTGAGATAAAAGCTTTTGTTTCAAACTTTCCTTTTATGGTTGAATATTCTTGTGTTTCTATTATTTATTTTCGTTTTAAAGGATGTGATTGTAGGCTAAAAGAAGGAACTTACACCTTCACTCTCAAGATCTTCAATGAACTCACTCCAGTAAAAGTTAGGGTGTGAGGTGGATAAAATATATATTTTTTCAAAAGAAAATATAAATAGGGTAATTATGTCCACACATAATTTAACATGCATATACCTGATTTCAAAAACATTTTGTTTAGTTAATTGAATTGTATGTTAATCGTCAGTTATAGGCTTACTAGTATTAAACCTCACTACTTGAAAACTATAGTCAAGCAAATATTGATTAAGCTAATTGTTTTGTGCTCCTGATGAATATTTACCTATTAATTTTAAATATTTTAATTAGAATGCAATATGTAATGCAATACTTTTTGTATTTATATAAAATAAAATTCTCATTATTCAAATACAAACTCATTTCAAGTTCAATATATGCTAATATTAAATTAAATAGATATTGCTGAATATTTCATATAAGAGATAAAAATTAAACAACAAAAACAATTTACTATATGAAATGATTATTAAAATTGTAAATAGAATCAAAGAATAGTATACAATCTGAAAAAGAGGAAAAAAAAGTAAGTGTAGCTAATATATAACAGAATTTCAATAGCTACATGATCAAGATAAGTTATTAAATGGTGTAGTCGATGCATGTTTTTGAGATACTAATCTTGCAGAATATTTGATTAATGATGTATACTGTAATTTAACTTTAGTTGGTGAAAGTTGAGAATGTGGATGGATATCATAACTAGTTATCTATACTCTAATTATATCGTTTGTTTTTTCTGTTTGTGAAAAGCAAATTCTTTTTGTTGAGATTAATAGTGATACATATGAATGATTATCTTTAGACATATCTTTAGAGATATAAAACTGAAATATTCTTTTATTATTGGCAAAAAAAACATTAGCTGATTTGCTTGAGCCATAATCGAGATATACGTTCTCGTCCTTTTAATCTCTAATATAATTCATTTCAAAATTTTCCAGAAGCAGTTTAGAATGAACTGAAAGGTTTTCAATGATACGCTTTTCTTGTCAACGAAAAATAAAACATAAGATGATACTGCCAAAGAATATGTCTTTGTTGTCCTGGATACTAAACGTCAGAAAAAAACAATAGAAAAATGATGTTACTATTGATTTTTCTGTGTCAATCGATAATAACGATCAACATGTGTGAGTAACTCTTTATGTGTATAATGCAAATGCTAAAGAAATATAAACAATTTTTTTTATCTTCATTAAGTAGTAGAATTTTTCGATTTGTAATTAATGCTCTAGTAATAGTTATAAATAAGATTATTTAATTCTCTCTTTTTATTCACGTCATAATTGAATTGATTTTGAACCATATAATGCTTTGTATTCCTTTATTTTAATAATAAAAAATAAGAAATTTATCTTTCAAATTTGATAGTTGTAAAACAATCGCAACTAAGAAATAAATTAGATCTAGTTGGATAAATAAAATAAACATCATTGAATTGCAATTGTTTTGAGAAATTAGTTTATTTAAAGAAAAAATAAGAAGAACTAAATATATATTTGATTCATTATTGATCAAAGATTTTCAAATCAATAATTCAAAAAAACTTTCAACAACTTCAATTGCTTTTCCATAGTCTGGAGATCTATAACACAGAAATTTTATTATTTTACATATATATCTAGTAAGAGATAAAACAAAATCTTTTGTTTGTAATGGTAAAAATCTCAGGTCTTTATCTTCTATCATTTTCGTATTACTGGAAAAACGACTACACCATTTAACTTTTTAAATGAAACATGTACTGTGACGGTCCAACAATGAACTTACCAAATACTTCGGGGATGAAAGTTTTAAATCGAAGAGTACACTCAAAATTGGAGAAGATTCAAAAACATTTTTTTTGCGATTTTTCGAAAATTGTCGATTTGATTCAGAATTCTTTTCATCGACTTCTTCGATCGTATTGATCTGTATTCATCTTTTTCTAGTCATAATCGTATATTATACAGAGACCCGATGTGTGAAGAACAAACAAACAAATTTTCTTCTTTATTATTTCAAGGCCCTTTTGTAATTGAATTGATCAAGTAAGGAGAAGAAAATTTTTCGTATTCACTAACTAAGTTTATTTTAGAAAAGAAACTAGCTATTTATACCCTTCCTGTCCAGGCATATATACATACATACAAATACATGATAAATATTCAGGAAAGCATAAAAGAGAAAGAGATTATGAACAAAGGAAAATAATGAGAAAAAAAAGAGGGTGATGTCAGTGCATCCTCCTCTTACTTCTCATCAAAATGAACAAAAACAAAGAAGATGATGAAATTCATCTTCTTTCTTACTGTGCAAGAAGTAAACGAAAATATAGAGCAAAATAAGAAAAAGAAAGAAGATGAGAATTTCAATATAATCTTATGAACAGATAAGAAGGAAAGACACCTGGACGAACAATATAATCGCTATGTGGAATATAGAAGGAAGAGAAGAAAAGAAAAAAAAGACATCCTTACATATATATATATACACATACCAACGAAAGAGTAGAGAAAAAAAACGAATAATACGAACGTTGTTAGAGTGCTCTCTAACATTGCTATATGAGATATTGAATCAGTTTATAGAGAAAGAACAAAAATTTTAATGTTAGCAGCAATAAATCTTGGTGGTTGTTGTACGAACGGTAACGGTTTTCTTTTTGATAATTTTGACGGGTGGTGCGCAGCAGCATACATTGGTACGTACACAACATCGTCGACCGCATGGTGCTGCACAAGGACCACAACATGGACCACAGCATGGTTTTGCACAGGGACCACAGCATGGCTCACAACAAGGATCACAAGTTGAATCACAGCTAGGATCGCATTTGGGTCCACAGCAAGGACCACATTTGGATGGACAACAAGGAACACATTTGGATGGACAGCAAGGAACACATTTGGGCCCACAGCAAGGGCCACATTTCGGTCCACAGCAGGGTCCACAGCAAGGACCACAGCAAGGACCACATTTGGATGGACAACAAGGAACACATTTAGATGGACAGCAAGGAACACATTTAGATGAACAGGAAGAGCTACATTTGGGCGCACCACAAGGATCACAACAAGCATCACTGCTGGGAGCACAGGAAGCAGCACAGCTTTGAGCACAGCTTGGAGAACAGCTGGGAGCACAGCTTGGGGAACAGTTGGGAGAGCAGCCGGGAGAACAACCGGGAGAACAACCGGGTGAACAACCAGGAGAACAACCAGGAGAACAACCGGGTGCACAACCTGAACCAGAACCGGGAGCAGAGCAAGGACCAGTATTAGAAGTAGAGCATGGTTCACAGACAGTTTCACCACATGGTTCACAGCAAGAACTGCTAGGACAACCACGGCGTGATGAACGAACAACGACTGGCATATTAATAGTAATAATGTAGTATATAGTAAGACTGAAGTACGATGAGAGTTGATTTATGAAACTATGAGAATAAGTGTGTGCATATATATATAGTGATAGAGAAACGAAAAAAAACTTATTTTTATTAGTCAAAAACAATTCAGTACTATTCTGATATGACAATACCTAACATATACATGTGACTAGAGAAACATATGTTGAAAAATAAGTAACGCTTTGTTACTATTCATGCAATACATGAAACATCAACTACTATTGCATATCATTTCTTACTCATGCAATACAACAAAAATATGAAATTCACACTTATTATCAACGTTTTTCTTTTGATTTGTTTAATAGTGTGGAAAACATCTAAATTTAATTGCACATTGATTTTAGTGGGTACAACTATGAAAGGGTAAATGTCATTTGATACACTTTTTACTAAAAAACAGTACTAATCAACAAAAACAAACTAAATGTTTTTCATGAAAAATATTTCTTCTTACGTTCTAGTACACATACACTGTAATATCATCATCATAATACAGCACAATAAAATGCATTGAGAAAAATATATAACATATGAATATAATAACAACAACAACAACACTGACTTCATGTATCAATTGACTATGAATGAATGTTTCGATGATACCAACACGTGTAAAAGTGAATATATTGATATTCTTATTTCTTTGATTGCTTTTGATCTGTTCAGTGAAGATAAGTTATGAACGATTAAATGAAAGACTGGTGATGATCAACGACAAGAAAGATCAATTTACACTGAACATATTATAGAATTTACAAATCATTTTTTCATGTGAAATCTTCTATTTAGTAATAGTTATGATGATATATGTATTATTTTCTTCCTCATAAAAAGATCGATTAGATTTATAAAAGAAAAATAAAGATGAAATGAGTGAAAATAGATGTTAAATACAACGTAAATAGAGAAAATTCTGTTGATTCTATCTATAAATGATCAGTAAATAGAATAAGAGATAAAAACATTAAATAGATTTCATTCGATGAAATTGTGTCGTCTTCAGAAATAGTCTTATTTGTATGCAATCACGACACGCCAACGAATATTGATCTTGATAGAAATAAAACGAATAGTTTTGGGTATTATATGCATTAATGAACATCTCATAAATACACTCTATACATTTGAACACTTCAGTATTATATATATAGTATCTGTTCTCTATGAAACAATCATTAACTCGATTTTTATTTATTTGACTTTGAATAAACTATTTGATATTATATGATGTTATTATGAACTTGAAAACATATGATTGATATAGAAGATTTATCATCATTTCAGTCATTGAAATAATTAATCGAGCGAATTATTTTTGTCTGAAAAAATTATTATATTCTCATATATTTTTCTTAGTTTTCTTATCTCTTTGAATGTCATGTGATACCAGAAAATCGTATTATATTAAATCAATATTTTTTTCTAGATTTTTATAATAAAAAAAAAGCCTAATTAAATTTATTTTCAATGCAAACCATTTAATTCAAACAGATTATTTTGTAAGAGTAATAATGATATTTATTTATAGAGAAAAGTCGATTAACATTCTTTGAAGATTAGAAATTTGATTTGTATATGTATTTCGATTAAGGACTTTTAATATACATATAATAGTTTATTGCTCAAGATGAACTCATTAATAGATTTACCATGTTCTTTTACATATGAAATCTGTTCGATGAATTTATCTTATTGATTTTTATATATAATGACGAAGAAAAGCACGTTGTTCTATAAAAGAAATCATATATGACAATCAACTTCGTTTTCTCTTCTGAAATATTTCAATGAATTGAACAGTATATCCTCTACAATAAAATGTATATATAAACAAAAGAAAATTCTATTGTTTCATTTACAGTTAAAAATAAAGTAAAATAATCTGTTTTAAATTCTCTATAGTACGTAATATTTATGTAAATACTAAAATATAAATAGAGGATAGTTGTCACTAGTTACCAGTTTCTAGTGCATGATTATTTCATATACATATTTCGAAACGTTATTTCAAATTTCATTAAAATCAATTTCGAATTTTTCATCAAGCGTGTTAAACACCAAAATATTCTGTAATAGATATGTCATTTATTCAATAATAAAATCATCTTTCCATTTAATAATCAAGCATCAGTTCTAAAAAATCATGAATGAGACTATAAATAAATAATCTTTTTAGTTATAAACAATAGAATCTTTCGTGATTAACAAATGAAGAAAAAATAAATTTATTGTTCTTTATTCTTGAATAAAAATAATTCAAAATTTCGATAAATTTATTTGATCAAATTCTTGTTTTTCTAAACGATAAAATTATTTTGATTTATTTTATTTAGAAAATTTCTCGGGAAATAAAGATAGTACCATCGATGTAGTTAAACAATCGAAATTAATAGTATGAATAAAGATTCACTATATTATTCAAATATACATTTACTTTCAATGTATACAAGAAATATGTGGAAACTTCGCATTTATATTCGAGTATTATGTGTATTTCATCTTGAAAAAAAAATATAAAGTCTAGTATTGTATAATGATTCATTTTCTTGTTTAATTCTTTACACTTTTAACAAATCGAATGAGAATAAATCATTCATCTTTCGATTAGTTTTTTACAATAGCAATTGTAAAATTGATTTCAAATTCTTCGTATATATTTATATATATAAATTTAGCATCAAATGTTGTACTTGAGAGTGGATACATGAGTATTAGTACCAATATGACAGATGAATACAATACAAGTGCATCAACCCCCGCATCTATTTTTTTATCTGTTAACATTACTTTAGCTTATTCGTTGATTTTTGTCACTGATCATTAATATTAGTAATAAAAAATCAACT